CCTCCCTGCACTGTCCACACGGACCTCTGAAGGCCGCCCCTGCTGCTCCCCAGACCAGCGGAGCCCCGTCCGCGTGGCGACTCCGGCTGCGCTCTTGGCCCGGGGATCGGGGAAGCCCACACGCCCCTCGGGCACCTGGACCCCGCGCTAACTTCTATGAGTCCGGGAGCACGTTCCGTGCAGGCCGCGCAGAGGAAGCCCCTCCCGCCGCCCCTTCCGAGGCCGGGGAAGCCCTGGAAACGGACGCTGCTTCCCCCTGGCGGATGCCCTCTGCACGGCGGCCCCGTTGGTCCTCATACCAGCACATCATAGCCAAGCGCAGCCCACGTGAAGCTGTAGGTCAGTCTTACCCTAAAAGAAGGGGCTGGGGAATGCTGCCACGTTGTTATTTGCTCACACGGGAATGTTTTTCGTGTTTCATGTCTGCAGAAGCAGACATCTGCAGAGACGAAAGCATGGAGGTTGAAAGGAAAAGAAGCCAGCACCGTCCTCCCCCTCCTCAACCTCCCCAACCTTGATCTAGTGGGCCCATAACACGGAAATTTTCCATAGGAAAATATTGGCATCTGAGTGGGAGACGCGGTGGGATTGGTGGAGAAAGCCGTGTCTGATGCAGCATTGTTTCATGAGAGGTTCAAAATGGACCTTCTAAATCCAGTTCCCCTTCTGTATCTATAAGCTGGGAGTTCTTTCATAAGTAAAACCTTTCCTCTCGGAAGGATTTGCTGATCCGGAACGATAGTTTGCACAGAGGGATTGGTTCGGTGGTAAAATCACCCTCCGCAGGGGAGTCCCAGGTTCAAATATCAGCCAATGCCCCCCATGCAGGCATGCGCTGTTGTGGTGTTGAGCAGGCTTCGGCAGAGCTGCCAAGCTAAAGAGAGGCTAGGAAGAAAGACCTGGCAACCCACTTCTGAAAACCAGCCAACAAAAACCCTATGAATCACATCAGTCTAATCTCTAGCCCACCATAGGGGCCAGACACGGGTGGCCACGAGCCAGGGGTGAGGCCACAGCAGCTCACAGCAGCGTGGTTTGCACAACTCAGAGAGGCACATCAATCTTCCTGGTTTCTCCTTCCCCTTTCCATCAAGTCATGGGAGAGCAAGATGAGCCAGAGCCTGCAGGGTCAGCTTGTGGGAGCCACGGCTGTACAAGAGACACACCATTCCTGGGACCTGCCATCTGGGGAGCACGGCTTCAACCTCTGATGTGCTTGCCACCAGCTTCACCTCCTCCCCCTTTCATCACCCCCCAGAACACATCCATCGCCATGGACCATGATGCTAGCTTCCTCAATAAGGGACCATTTCTATCCAGCCCATCAACCCTGTAAGTGCTTTACCCTCAGGCTTAGATTTCTACCAGGGTTTTCCAAACTGCCATCTAAATTGCAACCCCTAACTGCAATTCTTTCTTCCCCTGACAAACAGAGTTCCTTTCCATGAGCAAATCTTGTGCAGACCCCCTGTGTAATATCCGCCACTGTCTTCCTGGGGGAGACACAGTTTGACCTCTCTAACCTGGTATTCGAGGTCCTTCGTGAAAGGGTCCCTGCCTGTCACTCCCCTGATCTCTCTACCCCACTGCCTGTGTCCCAGCTAGTGGTCCTTTCCATTTCAAATACACATTCACCCCCAGCCCTTCACCTGGAAGGCTCCCTGGTTACTCCTGCCTGTGGCCAACGCCTCCCAATGCTTCAGGGCTTAGACTAAAGGTCACCTCCACTGCCCCAGGCTTCATCAGTGCCAGCACTTGCCCACCCCCCACAGTCACAGCTACCCCTCCTGTGTGCTGTTTCGAGGAGCCCTGGTGGTGGAGTGCATTAGGAA